CCAAAGAGTGAAAACTTCCAGTAAGTAATATATTTTAAAACATTAAAATGTGATGTTACATATGATCCATTTATTTGTCATAAAAATTAGGCAATTTTGAATATCCCTATGTAAAAAATCAAACTGTATTTATTGCAATCTAATATTTGGAGGGGAAATATTTAACCCAAAAGTTGAAAAAGAAAAAAATCCTTTAGAGAGTAAACAAGAGTATTTGATTAAAATTGCTGGCCTCAACATTTGGATTTTCTAAGGCAGACTTTTCTTTCTAAAAGCTTAAGACTTCTTAAGAACAGGAATCCACGCAACTCAAGCACAGCTCACAAAGTGCTGCAGTGTCAATCAATTAGGAATTTTTCTTAGGAAATTCAGTAGTTGTTAAGTTGAAAATTGGAACTAGAACTGTATCTCATTAAAAAATCTTGACTGCAGCGTGGTTCTCAGAGTACGGTCAACCAGCACCAGCAGCTTCAGTATCACCAGGGAACTTGTTAAAAATGCAAAGTATCGGGGTCCCCGGGAGACATACAGACACAGGAGCTCTGGGGTGAAGCACAGTAGGCTGTTTCTACAAGCCTTCCACTGGGTTCGGCTGCAGGCTCAAGTCTGTGACTGTTCTCAAACTTTTCAGTTTCAGGACTACTAAAAATGATTGAAGACCTCAAAAAGCTTTTGTTTATAGGTTATAACTATCAGAATTTGCCATATAGGAATTGAGATATTTAAGAATATTAATTCATTGTTGTTGTTATGTGCCATCAAGTCAGACTCGACTCATAATTCATTAGTAAATAGTAATAAACCTTCACAGTTAACAGGTATAACTTCTTTTTCTTTTAAATGAAAATACCTGTATTTTCCAAAACAACAACCAAAAAATTTAGTGAGCAGAGAGACATTGTTTTACATTTCTGCAAATCTCTTTCGATGTTTGGCTTCATGAAAGAGAACTAGAGCCTCATATCTGCTTCTGCATTCAATCTGGTTCCACACATTTGGGTTGAGGTCTGTGAAGAAAATTCAACCTGTCACACAGACACGTTGTTGTTAATTTGCCGCCGAGTCAGACCCGACTCATAGCGATCCCTCCTTGGGTTTCCGAGGCGGTATAACTACAGAAATAGATTGCCCAACCTTCCTTCCAAGGAGTGGCTGGTGGGTTTCAACTGCCAGCCTTCTGGTTAGCAGTCAACTGCCTTAGGCTACCAGAGCTCCTACATAGTGGTCAAAAAGCCTGTGCGTAGTTGGAAAGGCGAGATAATTGTGGTTATTCTTTAATATGACACCAAATAATTGTTAATTTCTTAAAGGTTAGTTGCAAGGTAGAATCTGGAAGCATCAATAAACTTTTTGTGTTTATTCTTGTACTTTGAATGAGTCTAGGAGGAGCCCTGGTGGCGTAGTGCCTAAAGCATTTGGCTGCTAACCAGAAGGCTGGCAGTCAAACGTCCATAGTGATACCACCTTAGAAACCCAAGGAAACCCAAGGAAAGTTGGATCCGACTCGATGGCAGTACATTTGGTATTTTTGGTTTGGTTATGCTCATGCAAGATTCTGTAATATTATGCAATAGTTATCTGGGAAATATTGGCTTACTGAGTTGGGTAGATCTGCCAAATGTTGACATACTTCCTTATATAATATTAACTAATGTGATTTTTTTTTCTTCGATAGCAACATAAATCTCATCAGAAAAATCTTTTAAGTTATTGGGAAGATGTCAAATTCGCAGTTTTCCAAACTTCTAATTTTCACTTAAAAGCTCAAATTTCATCACTGGCAACAAACACTGGTAGTTATTTTCTTTCAAGTGATAAGGCTACCTTGTTCATTTGCAAAAAAAAAAAAAAAGAAAAAAATCCACAAAATAGTCAAGTCTGTATAATCACAGTCTGCCTGTCAACAGCCCTTTCAAGTAACAAGTAATGGTGCTTCATGAGAAGAGAGGCCAATTTAGCTTGCAACTCAAACAATCACACAAGTGCTTTTCCTTCAGACAACCACCATACTTCAGTACCCAGCCAAGAGTTTCTGTGTGTGTTTCCCATTTCATCACAAAGAATATTAAAAAGCTGTGTACTACTCATGGATCAACATATAGTCAAATTAATAATTTCGCCAGACATTTTTAAGTGAATTTTTTTTTTTCCCTGCAGATACATGGTGATGGTGAATACAATGACTAGTGGTACAGGTTGGTGCTATCACCTTGATTCAGTGGTAAGGGGGAATAGTTTTACCCACCACTGCTTTTACACCATCAGTACAAATGTCAATACAGTGCAAAGGCCAAATAATGTCTTAGTATTGTTATAAAAATAGCTTTGATTTCACAGACACTCCTGAGAAGGTCTGAAAGATCTGCAGGGTCTTTAAGAACTGCTGCTTTAAGGAATTATAAGGGATCGAGCTAAGGAGCCCTAGTGGCACAACGGTTAAGTACTTGGCTGCTAACTGAAAGGCTGGCAGTTAGAACCTAGCAGCAACTCCATGGGATAAAGAGCTGGCAACATGAATTCATAAAGATGACAGCCAAAACGACCCCACGGGATAGTTCTACTCTGTCACATAGGGTCGCTATGAGTGGAATCAGCTTGACAGTACCCAACAACAACAAAAAGGAGATTCAGTTCTCCTTTTTAACTAGCTAGTTGCTTAGAAGTAATTTCCCTGCAGACAGCTGTATCTCAGGGTAATGCTAAAGATTCAACACTAAACCCCTGATGAGAGAGAGAGGTCAGGGATGCCATTCACACCTAGAGTTGCTTTTAGTATCAAAGCACAGGGTAAAGACTTTGGTCAACCCAAGGAATCCCATAGTCCTTCATTGCTGAGCTATTCAGGACTACAATATGTTTCTCACCATGGTCTAATTAGCATGATTTAAAACTACTTATTTGGTAGAAACCACACAGGCACACCACAAAGTGCCTCTAAGTAGGGGACAGGGGCTCTAGAAGAAATGATGATACATAGTCTGGAGGTTCCCAAAAAACTCACAAGCTACTCAAAGGGTACCTGAATTGATACCAATTATCACCTACAGTTATTAGGTTTTCTGGTCCAGTGGGAGTGGAGGGAAGGGTTGATGAGATCTGTTCTCAGGGAAAACTGGACAGTCAGGATCCAAGGATCTTCCACTTCCAGTCGGCATTTAGTCCAAGGTCCTCTCTGGGATTAGCCACTTTTGCTCACAACTCCATGTTTGTTTTGGTCACTGCTGCTCTTTAAACCAAATGCACTGCCATCAAGTTGATTCAGACTCATGGCAACCCTCACTGGGTTTCCAAGGCTATAAATCTTTACATAAATAAATTGCCCCATCTTCCTTCCATAGAGTAGTTGGTGGGGTTGAACCAGTGACCTAGATAGCAGGCAAATGCCTTACCCTCTATCCCACCAGAGTGCCTCACTCGTTCATAATTAGCTGGACAGCATTAAAATGAGAGTCTATCAATACTGCATAAAGTGGCTAAATCAAGCCAACGACTTAGTTTATTTTTTTAAAGTTAGAATGACAATCACCAGTAGCTTCCCCGAGTGAATGAAAAGTGGGAATGGAATGAAGAGGCTTTTACTTTTTATTTTTCTGTCTTGTTGGAACTGTTCTCAACTATAGACATCTATTGCTTTCGTGTTATAAAACTATGATAACTAAAAACTAAAACTGAAAAGGACTCATAAAATTGGCTTTCTCTGCAAGGAAAGAAGGAAGATCAGACAGACTGATTCCATTCTGAGGGCTGTATTGTGAGGAAGGAGAAAATCCCCAAGGAAAAGAAGAAGTAAAGGTAGCATTCAAGAGTGACGACACTGGAGATGTGCACGGCCTTCCGGAGAAAAAGACTCAAACTGTGAGGCTGTTTGCTGCTTCCTCACAGTGAAGTAGGGGAACTGTAACCACAGGGAGGAGTGCAGTCCCAGTGCTCACCACAGGAGCAGCAGTGGCGAGCAGAACAGTGTTACCAGAACACTGGCCTAGCCAGGGCTCATCCTCAAACTCACCGCCGGAGTCAATTCGATTCACAGTGACTCACAGTGACCTCGGGTTTCCGAGGCGGTATCTCTATGGAAGTAGATCGTCCAATCTTCCTCCCAAGGAGGGCCTATTCTAACCAAACCAAACCAAACACTCTGCCGTTGAATTGGATCAGGCTCATAGTGACCCCTCCTTGGGTTTCTGAGGCAGCATCACTACAGAAGTAGATTACCCAACCTTCCTTCTGAGGAGTTGCTGGTGGGTTTGAACCACCAGCCTTCTGGTTAGCAGTCAGATGCCTTAGGCATTGTGCCACCAAAGTTCCCAGAGCTTATCCTACAGGGCATGAAATTACCTTTGACTCACAGAACTGGGGCAATGATAAAGTGCTACCATGTAATTTAAAATGTTCAATAAATTACAAGGGAGCATTACTCTGTGGCTGCTTTTTAATCTATAAAACGTGGGGCTGGAGTTTAAGATTTCTTCCATTGGGAGTAGTTTTTTTCAATATTTTATTTTTGCCATTGTTGTTTTTGAGAATATACACAATAGAACACACACCAATCCAACAGTTTCTCCATGTACAATCCAGTGACGCTGACTACATTCTCAGAGCTGTGCAGCCATTCTCACCTCCCTTTTCCGAGTTGTTCCTCCCCATTAAAATAAACTCACTGCCCTCCAAGTTTCCTATCCTTCAAGTTGTTGTTGTCAATTTGATCCCATGCAGGTAGATCTTAAAAGAGCACAAACTCAAAAGCAGACCTTCTTTACTAGTTAGCTAAACTATTGTTTGGTTTTAAGAAGACTCCAAGGGATATGTTTGGTTTAAAGTTTAAGATTATCTCAGCACAACAGTTTCAGGGGCTTCTCTAATCAGAACAGTCTTTAATAAGCTAAGCTATACCTATAATTTGGAAAGGTCCCATCAAACACTATTATTTTAACAACAGCGGTTTCATGAGTCATCATTTAAATCTACATAATACATCCTCTCCGGAATATATTTTTTCTTACCGATTCTGAAAGGACTTTCCAGCAATATTGTCTCTGTAGAAATCAAACAAAACGTGGTATTGATCTCGGCTCCATTCCAAAACTACCTATTAAAAAAAAGAAGAAACAATGTTTTCTTGCATCAAAAACTAAGGGTACGTGGAGTTCTGGCAAGATGGCGGACTAGGCACAAGGACTGCACAGACCCTCTTCAACAAAGAAAAGGGAAACCAATTAACACAGACACAGAAGATAATCTTGGACCCCTGAGCCT